GAAGAAGCTGGTCATGATGTTGCTGCAGTAAGATAGAAAAAAGAAAAAAAAGCCAAAATTTTTTTGGCAATTTAACATTGTCTACCCCTACAAAATTCTTTCAAAGACCAGATACTTCCACATGTATACTGGCCAGGATACCTCTGCCCACAGAAAAATCCAAACAAAAGAAAATGTTATTGTCTCATGTTAGAAGAAATATTACTCTTTCTCACTTATTAGGCGCACTCCTTCCAGCCACTGGGTTTAACCCACTCTTCTTTGTTCTTGGTTCACCTTTTACTACCTTGTCCTTCTTACACTTCCCAGATTAGCAATGCTTATCTTCCCTTCTTCATTGGTGCAGGACTACACCATTACAGTCCAGCAAGTCTCAATTATACATTGTTTCAAATTAAATTCAAGAATATCATGTATAAGCAAAGACCAATGTTGATAAAACATGACCCTTCCGAAGCATCTTCTTTTGCCTCTTTTTAATTTTCTTTTGTTTAAGCATTGGTATAAACAGAGATATGTATACTTACTTCAGCATTTGAGGAATAGTATTTCTTATTACTTTTCTCCTTCCTACTTCCAAAATAACTTTATACAAATGCCAGTAAATGCTGTCTCCATCCTTTTGTGTGAGTGCATTACACATGCAATCTTGCACACACCAGGATGTGTGCAATTCTTGCACACACCAGGGTGAACTTTGTATTTTTCCACCATAATTCTCTGCAAAGAAGCTGTTCAAAAGCTGACTGGAATGGATGCCTGACTGGTGTAAATCAGAAGCACTTCTCTGCAGTCAGTATCTTACTTAGCAATTTTCTGTTACCAAACTAATCACACTCCCACATGCTTCTCTCCCAGTGTGATTAAGCAAGTAATTTTCCAAGTTAAGGGTATTAGGTGCTCAGATTTCAATGTGTATAAATCCATTATGCTCTTCAGAAAATGCCAGCCATAATCTTACTCTTCTGGGAAATGGCTCACAAATATATAGAGCCCAATATATTATTACAAAAGTCAAGGGAATAACTCCGGCACCATTTGTGACAGTGCTCAGACTCTATTTAGGACCACTGTTTAGACCTCAGTTCCTGATCTCTGACCATAGCTGTTCAAAGCTATTTTATCCTCCAGTATTCTTCCCATTCTAATCTTGCCTTCTAGAGCACAGATTACTTTAAACAGAGATTTAAAATAGCTCTTTACACAATTAGTTAGAGTAAGCCCCAGGGATTTATGTCTAGCCTGTTGAACTAGGGCTGGCTCTCTTCAGGAGGTACACACTGACTAACAGAACATATACTGTCACACCAAACATACTTTTGACTCCTTCCCTGAGCAAAAGCAAATGCCTTGTGTGTGCCACGTAGTGAACATGTTATTACGGTTCATTCTCAGCACAAAGCATCCCAATGAACAGCAAAGGAGACTGACCGAAGAAAACATAGAATCATAGAATGGTTCAGGTTGGAATGGACTTTTAAAGGTCATCTAGTTCAAACCCCCTGCATTGAGCAGGGACATCTTCAACTAGATCAGGTTGCTCAGAGCCCCATCCAATCTCATTGTAAAAAACTTCTTCCTTATATCTAGTCGAAATGTACCATGTTTTAATTTAAAATCATTACCTCTTGTCCTGTTGCAACAGGCCCTGCTAAAAAGTTTGTCCCCCTCTTTCTTATAAGCCCCTTTTAAATACTGAAAGGCTGCAATAAGGTCTCCTCGGAGTCTTCTGTTCTCCAGGGTGAACAATCCCAACTCTCAGCCTGTCTTCATAGGAGAGGTGCTCCAGCCCTCTGATCATTTTTGTGGCCCTCTTGTTAGAGGACATGAGCTTTCCTACAGCTCCCAAACCAATGGCCTCTGACTCTCTTGGTTGTGAAGCTTGAGTCATCAGCATGGAAAGAAAGCAAAATGATCAGGGGTGGTTGAGGCTTCTTAGGTGAAAAAAGAAAATGAAAACTGGTGGCTATTCCTAACACAGTCCTTCTGTCACAGTAGGAGATGGCAATTTCATTTACTCACAAGCTGACGAAAGCCAGAAAGGCAAAGTCGCCCGACTGCTGAGCCCTGTGATTTACTCTCAGAACTCTGCCCACTGCATGACCTTCTGGTACCACATGTCCGGGGCACACGTCGGCACCCTGAAGATCAAACTGCGGTACCAAAAACCAGATGAATATGACCAGGTGCTGTGGACCCTGAGTGGGCACCAGGCAAACTGCTGGAAGGAAGGACGCGTTCTTCTTCACAAGTCTGTGAAACACTATCAGGTGAGCTTGGCTGCTCCTCACTAAAATACGAAAGCCGAGGCCAGTAAGACCTTGCTGGTCATGTTTTATACAGCGTAGCAGAAGATGTCACTGAAGGATTTATGTAGACAGTGTTATACCTACAGATGAGGTGCTGTTGCTCTGACAATAATGATAGTGGCATATTTCATGGTATCTCAGATGACAGTGATAGAAGCAATTTGTTATCGAAGGCCAAATAAATACTTTAGAAATCATTTTTCATCTGTCACAAAACTGCATCCTTGCCACAGTTTTGCTGCTGATGTAAAGTCTTCAATGAAGTCATGACATTATATAAATTCACATTTGCATATATAAGTCCATAAAGGCATGCAGTGTAGATTGGCAGGTCACAACTAAAGTACATGTAGATGTGGCATCTTGACAAGTGAAGATGTGTGTTAACAACTAACTAAGATATCCTGAATGCTACAATTGTGTATTAACATGAAAACAATGTGAACATTATCTTATTTTGCCAGGTGGTTATTGAGGGAGAAATTGGAAAAGGAACTGGAGGAATTGCTGTGGATGATATTAAAATTGACAATCACGTAGCACAAGAGGATTGCCGAAGTAAGTATGAATAGTAAGAACATACAGAAATCTCATCCAAAACATTATTTCTTTTGTTTTGATAGCTATTTTTGTCTGTGAGAAAGGGATCGATTTTGGGTATATACAAAGTTTTGCACTGAAAACATCCTAATCAGGCACATCGCTTTATTCGTAGGAAATGCCACTGTTGTCATCTCAGTACTTCAGTAACTGCAGTCTTTTGGATCAGAACTGGCATCCTACTGGCATGGATCACAGCATGTTCACATTCTTACATCTCTCCCTGTATTTTATATTGCTGCCATCTTTAAATTTCTCTGCTTTTCTTAATGTGCTATTTTAACTAATGCTCAAAATCCAATTTTATTTCTTCACCCTTTTTAGATCACTTACTACCAAGCCTACTTGAATTCAATTTTAAAGGACCGCATCAAACCCTTACAGAATACACAAACAGGGTGAAATGACCCCTGCTCTGTCCTCTGCTGACCTGTAATTCTGAGTTTGTTGTGACATGTTTGCTGTAGTCACCAGCTCCCAGACATGTGGGACACAAAGTAATGTTAGAACATGGCCTTTTCCACATCTGAGCCAGGCTATTCCTGAGATGCTATTTGAGTCCTTTTATTTCTGGCCAGTCTTGAGTTATTCCAGTCACTGCTGATTATATGTACACTGCTTACTGCATGTAATTTGGCATCAGCAACCCCAGATAAATACAAGCAACTGAACCCTGTCCTTCATGACAGAGAAGAAGCAATGACTTTTATGTCAGAGAGGAAATAGAACTGAGAACCCTCAGCATTAGGAAGATAAATTTATGCCATGCAAGTTGGCAACATAACAGAGAGCAATAATAGAGGATGTTCCTCACCTTTTGTGGCTAATATCCTTTTGAGGGTAACATGACAGGCTTCAGCTGCATGGTAATTGCACTGCAGGATGAGAAAACTGTACAATGTCTTTTTATCTCACAGTTCATCTTCTGGGGTTCATCATATGCCACCAGAGTGACAGTTGGTAGAGAAGAGAAGCAGGACACACTGCTTGGTCCTCCTGCAGTGTCCTCATTGCCAAGAAGAGTGCTGGGACCACGGTGATTGTATTTCCCTGACTCCAAAATAGGAGAGGAAAGTAACTTCTTTCCTAACTCCACGTTTTGAATGTTCGAACCGAATGCTAAGCAAAGATTTTGGCCTGTGGGAGCTAAAGCCAAAAGCTCAGTCTGAAGCCCAAACACAAGTGGTCTCACTGCAGTCAATGAAACTATTCTTGTGTTTAGCTCTGCCTACACTGATGAAGTGTTATGGAATCAGGCTCCAAAATTGTAAATATAATGAATGAGATGCTAATTCATCACACTGATTTCTCTTTCCCAGGCATGGAAAACCCCTGCTGATAACTAAAACTGTGCCAAGACTGGGCGGAGAGGAGTTTTAAATCTTTCTTTTTTTTCTCTGTTAATTTTCAGAGCCTATCATAATGAACAGTTCTGTCAAGCTGACATAATGATGCTCTGACACAGGAAAATCTGCTATACCATTATTGCCAGCATGATAGTCAATCAGTGTTTGTAACCCTAATAATCAATGTCAATTCTCTTTGCTTCATTAGAATCAACTGATGTGGAGAATGAAATAGATGAAGAAGACCCAGAAAGTAATCAAACAGGTAAAAATTGTGTTATTGTTAACAGGGAATGAATTTTAAAGTGTATCTTCATGTGAATTTTTGTATTCTATTTATTTATTTATAGATTAGTTCTCTAACTGCATATTGTATTAAGGTTTTTTGATTCATCTAGATTAGATGCTAAGAAGGCTTACATTTATTTGAAGGATGTAATAGTTTTATTCTCCTCAGTCATATAATCTCATGGACTTTGTATTATTTGTATCTATCTCAAACCTTCCAAATTTTATATATGTAATTTGTTACATTGTATACATATATATGCAGGCATACTATAGTCCCTTAATATTTTGAAATCTAGAAGGCTTGTCCACAGCTGAAGAAACAGCTATCATTATAGCTAGCAATTTATGACTCATGCAGTGTCTAGGTAATTAGGCTCAAAACTCTTCAGGCTAATTGTTTCACAGACCTGGCTGAAAATGTCATTTTATGACCAGTCTACCAAAGCATTATCATTTTCAATGATGATAGCTGTAAATGGATCATTAAATGGATCATAATTGTCATATTGTCCCAATAATAAAATATACTTGCATTTTTCAGGCAATAAGCTTAATTTTTTTCTGTTACAGTCAACAGGATTGCTATCATTGATGCCGGTGAAAGCAGGGTTTGTCCAAAAAAAGGCTTTTTGGCTTTTTCTGCAGCAATTAGCAGGGTTTGCAAGCTTATTGGATCTTTTTCATAAACTGAAAGGGTTGAGGGAAAACATTATGATACCCAGTGAATATTTTACAGAAGGGGGCAGAGTGCTTTTCTGTCACTATTTCCATTTCAAGGCCCAATCCTGAAGTCAGTGAAGTGGAGACGGATGCAAAATGCCTGGAGATTCCCAACCAATGTCTAAGGCTATGAACATTCACACTAAGCTGAATGAGATTTAATTAACATTTTTGAGCTAAATACTGCAAGCTGGCAAAATATAGCCAAAAGGTCTGGTTATTCACTCCGAAGGCTCCCACTTAATCCAAGGCAGAATCAGACCCCTACTAACATGCAGCAGATTCAAGGATCGGAGAACAGTATGGAAAAAATCAACAACTATTTGGGCCACATTATAGTTTTCAGCTATTTATGACTACCTTCAAGAAGCTAGGTTTTCAAATTATGTAGCAACTTGTGTCAAAAACTTGATGTCCTTTCTCCAAATTTCCAACTCATCAAAGAAAGTTCTAACTAGAATCTGTTCTGAAAATTTTTCAATTCTTTACTCCATTTCAGGGTTTACACCTCCATACCATATGGGTGAGGACTACGATGATAACATCTCCAGGAAACCAGGCAACGTCCTGAAGACCCTAGATCCAATCCTTATTACCATCATAGCCATGAGTGCACTCGGGGTGCTTTTAGGAGCCATCTGTGGAGTTGTCCTGTACTGTGCCTGTTGGCACAATGGGATGTCAGAGAGGAACTTGTCTGCACTGGAGAATTACAATTTTGAACTGGTCGATGGTGTAAAACTGAAAAAAGATAAACTAAACACACAGAATTCATACTCGGAAGCATGAAGGTATAAAGCGACTGGAGAAGTTTCAGAGAATTGGGATAGAAGGACATAGCTCGGTCGTGCTGGGGAACTGTTGATCTTCTTTTACTGTACGGGCTGAAAAGTGCATTGATGACACTGAGCCAAGCTTTTCTCAGGAGCTTCAATGAGTGTGTAACCGATAAACATGGACAACAATCTATGTTAACAATCTGAATCATGTACAGTCTGCTTTTTCTGTTGGTTTTATTTGAAATAATCAAATGCTGGTGTTGAGACCAAGTATGATTGACTTATAGTTCATTTTGTCTTTCTTTCTCTCCCTCTCTTTTGTTTTCTGTTAATGGATAATTTTGTTTTTACTGTGCAAAATCCAAGATGCTGTCACAAAATGTATTCAGTGGGGTCCTTTGGATGGACATGCTGTCTGTAGCTCAGTGCCCAGAAAATATTGGAGTAACAGCAATTTAGTTGACTCCTGCACCTGTATTTGTGTATAATTGCTCGTGTTGTGCATAGGCAAAGAAGGGTTAGGATGTTTTTGGAAGTACTGCTGCATCAGTACCGATATAGTGTGTCAGCTCTGTTTACGAAGCAATACAGTCAAATTTTATTGATGTTTTTCAGTGTTGTACTAAATTTTGTGCTTGTGAACTCCATAAAAAAATATGTGCCGCCATCAGACACAACTGGTAACAGAGTGTACTGCCTAAAAACTAAACAAAAAGTCCTTGGCACTGGCTAGTGTATGTCCTCTCAAGTGCCTTTTTGTTTGTACTGCTTCTCATTGTGTTAACATTAACTACAGCTCTGCTTCTCTGCAGTTATGCCCTTGTCTTTAATCATATTCTGATGGCTCACTGACTGAAAAAAAGTGTATTTTAGTGTAAGAAGGTAGCCTCAGCAAGGCAAGGGCTAATCAGATTTGACAACTGGCTCGATTGTTCTGCTTTCTGTATTTCAACTTCACATCTCTTGACCCTTTTGTATAAAGCTGCAATATCCCCTTTTATTGTTCTTTCATATAGAATGTATTTTCAAATGTAAAATCTCTCTCCCTTTCTCTTCTCTTTTTCTCTGTCTTTTCCTCTCTGAGTAGATTGCATAAGCATTTGCCATTGCCAAGGAAAGAAAACTGCAGCTTTAACTTGCTGGTAATGGCAAAGGATTTTATTAGAGTTTGTGTTAAAAAGTAAGGGAAAATTCTTAACTTTACCCTCCAAAGTCGAACTTTGGGTTTCTTCTTAACAGCATAAAGTGACAGTATCTTTTTTCCTGAAGTCATGAAACATGTCTTTTATCCTGAACAGCTTTGCCTGTTAATTACACTAGGGAAAATGATTCCTTTACTGAAAAGATTGCCTTTAAAATGAGAAATTTTCCTCCTCCTCCTGCCCCTACCTGAACCCAGAGTTCTCTTCTCTCAGTAAAGGTGTCTTTTCATGCTAATCAATGTTAACTGGGCTTACGCATGGGTACTGAGGGCAGAATAAAATCCCACAGTGTATGTAGAGTGTGTTCTTACCATTCTGTTACATCCAATAGGCATTTCATACCTGGAGGTTTCTGTTTGACCAGAAGGGCAGATAGTGACAGATTCAGTGAGCTGAGTAATGTAAGCTGTCGGAAAATGTGTTTGACAATTATGTGGCAATTTTTTAATATTTTAGAACAAATATTATTGGACAAATAATATTCAACAGCCTATGCAGCTGGTCCAACAGGGTAAAAAGAAACAAGAGTATGTATTCTGCAGGGGTCTATAGGAGGAGGCAAGGGACTAGAGGTGCTCCTGCAGGTGCGAGCCCCTGGGTTTTCTGCGGTGACCCACACACAGCACAGCCATAACTGGGGAGGCAGTGGAAGAAGGCAACTTTAACCTTCCCCTGGGTATCTACCAACCAGCAGATAAAACCAGTGCAAGCATGGGGAAAAGACTGCCCTGCAAAGTGCTGCACTCATGGTTTTCCTCACTGAATTCCCCAAGTCCAATCAGGGAGTTAGTCTTTTCCAAAATTGCTTCTGTAATAGAGCAATGAAGTATCCTGTCCAGGACTAGGACTAAACAAGGGCTAATTCAGCCTTGAATTATATAGAGCAATGAAATCCACCCCTTTATCAATTAAATGTTTTGAAGCATATAATTTCACCAATATGAACCATAAAACAGAAAAATCTGTAGAAAATCCACCAGTAACCTAGAAATTGAAGAAAAGGGAAGGAGACTGGAGGTAAAAATATAGATTTTGAAGTTGAAAATATTTTAAAGGAAAACTCAATAGAAAAAAAGGTGGACAGTTACTATTTCAAAGGAGTCCTAAAGGCAAAGACTATAGTGAAAATTCGAACACCCACCTTCAGGTCATCAGACCTTACATGCCTAAAATGGAAGAGTTACCTCCCCAGGCTCTAGACCTTGGGTCCTCCAGAAGGTGAGACAGAGCACCTAAGGCCTGAAAGTTTTGCCTAAAAGTTAGTCCATGAAATGTCCCAAGTGACAAACTCACTTTGACAGAGGCAGAATTTTCATTTGTATCTAACACTGTAATTTGACCATAATGGTATTGCAGCAGCTAGTTAATTAACCCAAAGAAAAAAAGGATTTTTCAGAGCTATTTTCAGCACACCACCACCGTGTGATTCAGCTGTTAGAGTCTGTTCTCCTCAGCTGAAAAATCTTCTAGTCCACTAACTTGATGGAGAGTTACATGCATGTATTGCCTTGAAGAGAAAATCCCACTGGGGAGCCCAAGCCCAAAACTTTTTGAAATATTCCCATGGATTTCAATAGATTCTGGACTAGCTCTTGGTCTTGATCTATTTGAACAGCTAAGCTGGTGGTTGGTGGGTTTTTTGATTCTTTTAATGTACTGAGAATAGTGAACGCAAAAGGAAATGTATCTCCTTTGTGGTCTTCAGACCTTACTATGATAATGAGGATCTAGCACTGAAGATTTGATTTCTCTGAAGGTAATAGAATGAAAGTTGCCCTTCAACAAAGGAAAAATGATACTGCAACTTTACATTGAAAAGTATCTTGCACTGATAAATATATTTAAAAAAATTATATGTTTATAAAGTTATTAATTTGTAAAGGCAGTGTTACAAAATGTTCAGTTTATATTGTTTTAGATTGTTTCATAATTTTTAAAGTGTAAAATAACATATTTTTTCTTTATTGAAAAACTATAAAAATCTTCTGTAGTAAAATGATTTCATTTTACTGGTATATTATTGCTTCATGTTTTGTACCATCATAAAACTTTGTGCAAATTTTTTTTACAGAAATTTTTATTTTCTATGACAATATGACACTTGTAAATTGTTGTTTCAAAATGAACAGCGAAGCCTTAACTTTAAATGACATTTGTATTCTCAGACACTGAGTAGCATAAAAAAAACCACATAGAACTGAACTGTAACTTAAATTTCCAAACTATGACTACTACATTCCAAAGAAACAGTTGAATTAAACATTTTCATAAAATATCCCATACCTGATGTATTTTATTATACTAAAATGGATTGATTTTATTAAATGGCTGGTTTTATTTAGCATCTTGCAACAAGCACAGTGTTTTAATCATGGTTATGTTTGTTGGTAGGCAATTCCAACAAACAGACATCTTGGTGAGACCGTTTATGGTTTAGGATGGAGGGATCCACCCTCTGCCTGCCCAATTCCCTCTCCCTGCTGGAAGACACTCCCACTACATGTTTAACTTTTAGTCAAACAGCAGGGATTTAAGAGGGCAAGTCTGCCACCACTGCTTTTAGGTTGTAATTCACCTCGCTGCCGTGGGAAGCCGAAGACACACACCCTGTGTAGGTTATACTCACGCCTTCTGGTTTGCTCTTAGGGGAGGTGAGATTTACTGTGGAGTAATGTCCATTTTTGACAAGTTGCTCCACTGAGTGTCTGCTCCAGTAGTAAGGTTTGTACAGATGAACTCCCTGCACATTTCCGCTGAAGTCATCAGAACTTACCCAACCATGGCCAAATCTCCCAGTGCAGACCACAAGCTGCTGATGAGAGCAAATGCTGCAGGGGCAGCCCATTGGGCCTGATTCGGCATTCAGTTGGGTGCTGAACTCATCTGTGGAACATAGGATCATGCATAGGGACACCTTCAAGAAGTTTGCATCCAGATCAGAAGCTCTAGATTGCACATTTCCTGTTTTATGCAATACTTACCTATTTGTTTCTTGTTAATACTGAGCACTCTGCACATTAAACTTTGTCAAATCCTTTCTTTACGCTGCACACATGAACAATGCACATAGTGTCCGTATATTATTAAGTTGAGTACTCATGGACAAATATTTTACTTCAGCTACTTTACTACTCCTGGGAAAAATCTTGTACTTATTACCACATATGTGAAGATTGTTACACTTGAAGAGAAAGTATTGAATCTTTGTCTCCTCGAGAGAGTGGTGGTGTGGGTACCTATTTAAAATATGAGATGGAACTACAGCAAGGCACCTGAGCAGAATTTTCATCTGTGGTCAGAGTAGCAATTGCTCTCAAAAGATAGTTGTGAAGGTTGTCCATGTAATCACTACATCTAAATTCCTTAGAAATGTCCTTTATTGCACTCTGTTTGCTTCTGTGATAACCAGTCACAGGGCTCTTTCAGGGAAAATAAATGGCAATGGAATTAATTAGAGAAAAAAAAAAAAAATCTGTAAAGTGACTCCATTGAGGATGAAGCTCAGAAAAGGGAGATAAGTATTTTAAGTTAAGAAAATTCTCTTTCTTTCATTTAAGGGAAATTAATTAGCCTAGGAGCTAACAACTACTTAGCACTAAACCTTCAGTTTTCCACACTAAATAGGCTGCATAAATGAAAGACAAAAATGGTGCAATGGGATCTGAATTATGTTTCAGAACACAACTTTTAAACTTGAAAGAAAAATAAGAGCAGATGGAAATAACAGATGGGTCAGCTACATACAACCAGTGCCGGGAGTGCACAACTCTGAGGCGCAGATATTAGGGTCACAATCTGTAAAAAGGGTCTTTGGCAGATAGTGACAAGCAAACCCTATTATTATTTCACCAATCAAACATACCAGCCCTGAGCCAGCAGCCACATAGCCACAGTGCTGAGCCCAGTCCCATTTCCTTGCCTTTTGGCAGGACATAAAATACAATTACACAGCAAAAGGCAGATGTACAGGAGAGGCAGGGGAAGCACAGCTGACGTATGGGCAGGTAAGACCCACCACCATCATGGAAATGACAGCAGTGCCCACCTGTACAAACCTGCCCTCTGGACCAAAGCTCCCAGTCCCACTGGAGATGAAGGCTTCTCAGTCCTCATAAACTACCTTTTATGAGGCATATTAAGACTTAACAGGTGCATACCAATATAGCTCTAAATTTGACCCTCATAAGTCTTTTCTTATGTACAATTCATCCATTTCTAACTCAATTCTGCTTACCCGCTTTGCCAAAGTCAAATGTCGAAGTTGGTTTTGATTTTCAGATCATGGCATCTAGACGTCAGATCCCAGAAGCAATTCCCTTCCCTTTCTTTAATTGTCCTGTCTTTGCAATGCATTATGCCTAATAGCATATTGGTTCAAGCAACATTAATTTATTAGAGCTTTAATTTCTTCTTTTATACTATTTTATGCCTCAAGTCACCCATAACCACAATTTTACCTACAAGTCTTTGTTAAATTATAACAGAGTGTATCTAAATTTTTTTTTGCCATGGGATACTTTGTATAGCTGTTTTATTTGCTGATTACTTCCCCTGTAGACCCTAATTGCCTTTCTACAGCAGGTCCATTCTCTATTCTCATTCTACACTTCTATTCTCATAGCTTCACACAATCAAACTCTAATCTTATCACCTCAGGACTGACGGTGTCTCAACATTTATAACTGAAAATCTCATTAAAAAATCTTCTGGCATTTTTCACAGATGGATGGAGTCTTATCATGTGTCCAAACCTAATTCCACATTCAATAATAATATTCTCCTATTTAAATTTCCATTGTTTTTATTCATCTCTCAGACATTTGATTCATGTCCCTGTCATTGTACAGCATCACTGTGCACCACACACTGTGTTTTATTACAGGCAGTTGTGCTTCCATAATGGGTGATGTGGGTGCAATTGAAAAAGGAATTGCAGTCTTACTGGAGCACCATTAGTCTCAGAGAGGTCAGGTGGTGCTCTCAAGAGGACAAGGTAAGGAGAAGGTTTGTCAGGGTTTGTCAGGTGTTGCCACGACAAAGACTGAGGGATTTAATGATAAGAAGCTGGAGGATGAAGGGTTTGCCTGAGGAAACAAGTATTTCAGGTGACAGGAGCTGCAAAGGGAATTATCAGAAAACTCGGTTGTTCAGTTCCTTTGTTTTTCTCTTGCAAAAAAACATTCACAATTCTTAAAAAAATGTCTGCATTATGGAAGTGTCTCTGGCAGCTGCCATGCACTTTTAAATCCGCAGTCATGGAAGAAGGGAGTAGGGGTACCAACCCATCTGTTAGCTGAACCTAAACAGTGGATTTCTACGCTCAAAGAGGCAACAGGTGTGGATGCATCTTTGAAGGCCCAGGCAGCATCTCAGGACTATAAGACTGGCATTCTTCATGCATCATTTTCATCTTGAGCGCCTTCATTCCCTTTCCTCTCTAACGTTGTTTTATGCCATTTTTTTCAGAAGTAAATTGCCTGGGCTCAACTACTGTTTTTAATGATTTCCTACTGTTAACGT